TCGGTGAATGATTTCCCGCCTTGAGCAAAAGTATTTTCACTTTGGGAACTGTCAAGTATGGTTTCTTTTGCATTTCTATCGTCGAGTTTTGATCTTTGTGCGATTTATTTTGAATTAACTTATCTTCTTCTTGTTCAATGATCTTCGGTGGAAAAGTCGATTGATTCGTGTACAAATAAATGTTATTAGATAAAACTCCTGGCATTGTCGGAACAGGAATTACTGACGTCTTCGTTACACAATTATTCACATATGTATAGAATAGTACTGCCAGAAATAACATCACAATCAAACTGGAAAATATGTATAAATTCCTGTAAAATTTCTTGTTTGATGAAGAAGAAGTAACAGTGTTAACTCTCTTTTCAAACATCTTTCTATCGCGAGATGCACCGTGCAAGACTTTTCAAGAATATCTAAATATCTTTAGAGTATACAAAGGTACTTTTATAGTTTGTAGAAGCCTCTGACAAAAAGTAATTAAAATTTTTAATTCAGGAATGAAATGATGATTTTTCTTAATGATATGAAACAATGAAGAAACAATGGCTGCTTTCCTTTTAGGAGACACAATCGAAATAAACATTGGTCTATTCTTCTTGATATTTAATGAATAACAAAGAACGACATTTGTATCTATTGTCTTCTAAAAGTTGTCAACGTTACATGAAAAATGGACCGATAAATGAATAACATGATAAAAAACATAAAAAAAACATAAATAAAAGAAAGAATTTTATATTTGGTCAAAGCGGCTCTTGATGTTTATAATATTCATATGTACATTTTCAAATATATTTTTCAGTTTTATAAACTGCGCGTTGATTTGATTTGTTGGAGATTTTACAATATTTTGATTATTATTATTCTCGGATTTGCGTTTTAAGTTTAAACTCGAAAAAAAATTATTAACGACAATTATTACTTCAGCATCCGAAAATGTCTTTCCAAATAGTCAAAGACATACGAGATCAAATCTAGAGAATGCAATGAATGTGTAATTAATTCATTATTTTAGTTTATATAATTTTGCCATCGTAACTGCTGATTTATTGATCGATTCAATTTCTCCATTATTGGCAAACTACCACTTTAAAAGATTATCAGAAACAAAACTGATCGCTAGAATGACATCAAACTTAGGTTTTTATGTTTTTTTTTCATTGTCATCTATTGGACAAAAATTGAAATTTTACTGAAATCTTTTTATTATCAGGTCGGAAACTTTTTCAATGTACTTTCGTATACAAGTACATGTGTACAGAATTTCATTCAAATGAGAATTTTCTGATAAACCTATAAAGTTTTCCTTGTTAGATGGCCTCACAATATTTTCTAGATATAGATTGCCAAGAGTTAATGAGATGCTAATTAACATAAGATAAGTCATCGAGCGACAATCAATAATATAAAGCCATCGAGATATTATTAAAAATTTCTGATTTTGGATAAATTAAATAGAAGATAATCGAAGATTGCTGGAGAATAAGAAGAAGTCGGTCAAAACGAGTAAATATTTATGAAATATCGGGATTATAAATCGATAATTCTATTTTATAATAGAATGAAAATTAAACAAGTCTCTTATCGTGTAAGAAAAGTATCTTGTAAAATTAATGTCACCTATATTGCATTGGTTCGAATTCATGTGGAGAATAACATTAGAAGCACATAATGTAATTTAATAGTCACTTGTATTTAGTTATCCGTGCATCAAACGAATAATGCGACTAAAACACAATGCAGCCCACATGTACGTAGCTCCGATTGTGTAATACAATGTTGAAATACGAAAGTATGCTCTTTCAACAATTAGAGTGAAATTAATTCACGCGGATGAATTTCTTCCGCTTTTCTAATAACAATAATCATGGAAAACGAAGAGCTGTATAAATAACAATTATTATACTGAAGTACTGCTAAATTTATCTTCTTGATGTATAAATTATATTTCATATAGCTCAAAGTAATATTTCATAACAATCGAATGTTATGATAAATAGCGTTATTAGAGATAAAACGAAATATGTCGGAAACGTATAAATAAAATAAAATTACTCTACAATAATTAATCAAATTTCGAGAAACTCTTTTTTTTTTAAATAATTCTCTTGATTAACCAGTATCTTGATTCGATCATGCTTCTGTATCTTAAAATATTAGATACCTATTTCTACATAGTAAAAAATATTTTTTTTTATATTAAAATATTAGCTTTTTTACATAATATTTGAATTATTTTCTATATATTCATCTTGTGTTAAATTAACATAAAAATTTGTGCGATGTCTCGCTTGAGATACATGAAATGTATTAAATTTGACATAAATTTTCCAACTATGTGTACATTTTTAATGCTGAATTTACTGCTATCGGTCATACCGTAAATATGAAAGTACACACATAAACGGACACACACCATTATAATATTTTTATTTTAACATATGCTGTCACGCGATGTATGTATTCGAGAAGACGCATGCAACAGTCGCGTGCGGTACGCCGTTTACCGAGTCATTGTACCCTGGCACGCACTAATCGCTATTACATATGCACGTTGCATTAAGGCAGGTCGCTGATGCACGTCGGCGAAGTACTTTCAAGTAGGAAGCAACTGACTCTTTTTTCAAACGGAACGCGAATCTCTGAAAGCGAATCTTTCGCAGCGAAAGTCTACCGATTGCAGATTTCCGCGCCGAAGATTACCATCCATTACAAAATATTTTCTTAATAAGTGAACGACATGAAAACTAGACTTTGCCGAGTACATCTTTATCATGGGCTATGTTCAGATTTCCATTCAAATGTCCATGTATCATTTTATCCTTGTTGTCCGAATGTTAAACAAGGATAGCATGATATCCATAGAGAGACTTACATGGGAATTTCAACACACCCATGTATGTGAAGGAAAAATAATTGTTGTGTATTCTTTCGCTGTTTTCACAATTATACATGTAAATTCATTTTTAGTTATAAGTTTAGTGTTCCATAATATCGCTAGCATTTACACTTGTTATGATGATTTAAAATTTGTTATTCAATTTATCTTATTTTTGAAATTTCAAATAAAATATTATTTTTCATAAGTTGTTTTTATTATTTGATAGAGAAAAGTTAAAAGCTTGTTCAATAAGCTATACCTATCAACTGTATTATAATTTGATAGAGATAAATTTAATATATTATAAATGCTAATATTACTACATATTGTAAATGCTAATATTATTATAAAAAAATATGCTTCAACAATTCGTTTCTAAATTCGTTTCAAATGTTTTTTGTGTTAATTTTTACATTATAATGTTTGTATTACTTTTTAACATACTCATCCTATATTAAATTAACACAAAAATTGAGTAGATCGTTTGGGAAATGAAATGTATTAAATAAAATTTTTCAGCTGTGAGAACAATTATGTAAAATTAACGCGAATAGAGCTTGTCGATACTTTATTTTGTACTCTTTGATGTTTCTCGAGAAAAAAGTTCGATGGTTGCACAAATTGGAGCAAAAAGCTAGTGTGAAAGTCGTTGAAGTGCTATGACAGATTTGATTTTACATAAAAGCGCACGACAGTAAGGTCATTATTGCTGAGAATAATGATTCGCTTGCAATTTTATACGATGCGTGAGTCACAAAGTTACGGCACAAAAGGAATCCGCGCCGATCTGTAATAGATCGTTATAATGATCACCTGTTCTTCCTTTTGTGTTAATTATCCGATAAATCATACCGATAATGAATCAGCATGCCGCTCACGTAGCTTTGGGCCACAGCTTCGGGTCATGGTTCATTATAATAATCTGCGTTCTTTAAATTGTCCTAAGGGCAACAATTTGCTTTATCTTCCGCATACGTTAATGAACTTATTGCATAATTGAATATGCTATGCGACCTTAATTTTGTATATAATTTCAAAATTTCTGTTAACATATCTAAATTATCTCACTTTACCTCATAATTTTATGATAATTTTTGTCAATCTGTTTATATTAGAAATAAATAAAATTCCTGTTATAATCAACATAAAACACAATACTTTAAATATTGGAACATATTAAGTACTATTGGATCTTTATTTGTATCTTGTTTCTTTATCCAAGCATTACAATAAATTTACTTATTATGGCCGTGAACTTTTGTGGCAGCCACGAATGTTGTAAAATTTGCTAGACAAATTCTCTAAAAATGTGATTATCTAGCAGAGAAAGGTTCAACCGTTTCTATCTAATAGCTTATCTTTGACCTTATCGAAACTTTGACTTATCGGAATATAACATATTAGCGAATCAACATCGCCAATGATAAGAATCGCAAAAAAAAGGGCAATGACTCATAAAACGACGGGCAAAGCTAGTTGTCCAGCTGGCACGTAAATACCCGCACATGTTCTCGTCAGGTGCGCATGACAATGCAGGAACTTAGTCGTTGGAAAAAAATTTAAACAGGTAAAAATTTACAAAATACGATTCTTGAAAGAAAAAATATTTTAAATATAGAACAGAAAATATAAGTAATATGTAGGCAATATGTAAGCAAATTTATAATAAATCTCTGTAAAGCATGTGTGCTGTGACTTCTACAAATATTCTTGCAAATAAAAAATATCAGAGTACAACAAAATAATATCTTTCGTCTGTATCTTCGATACACATGGAATCAAACTTTTGATGAATCATGAGGCATTTTAGGAGGGATATTATTAGAGAAATCGATTAATTTTTGGAATACGAAGCTGCCGATTGACTGAATACAGTTAAAGTCCCATATATGATTGCTTTTCGCTCTAAGTGCTAAGTTCCGCTTAATTCTTATATGCGATCGCAAATTTTCTGACACAGCAAAGCGTGTTACAGGCGATGCTGTTGTAGATCCACGCTGCAGGAGGTAGTGACGTGTCGAGAGTGGGGGCGTCTAGCTGACTGGCCGTGCGGAGCGAAACTGTCTCGGCGCGGCGTTTGCTTGCACGCCGTCGCTTTGACAGTGGTGTAACAACCTTCGTGAGAGTCGTGCCGTGCCGTGCCGTGTCGTGTCGTGTGTCGTGCTGTAAATTATAAATAAAAAAAAAAAATACAGTCGGCCGCCGCGGTATTTTCGAAAAATCGATCGCGGTACTTGGACCAAATTCGCGGTTCTACTGCTAGTTCAAAAGTTCAGCGAAGAGCTTACGACGCACCTTTCAGTTTCTCATTTTTTTAAATATTAGGTAAATTACAGACGTCTTGATCTTGAAATTGAGAAGATATCATTCAAAGTTTTTCTCTCTGACAAATTTATCGCGAAAGCGTGACAAATCATCACGGACGTATTTTAAAGCATTTCTTCGCGAGAGAGAAGCGCGCAGCCGAGCGGTGGATCAGTTTGATCGATGGGACTGACGATTTTAAACACGCTCGCATACGTTTGAGTAAACATTTAGAGACAAGGTTGATCGTTGGCAGACACAAGGGTACCATTATTGCGATAGTCCACGGGCACGCTGTGTGTGGTCTGTGCGCGTGATAAAACTTTATCTGCTGCGACACGAAACTTTTTCGCGGCTACGAAGCGAAGATCGTCCTTTTCGGGAAGTCTTGGTGGTTTCCTGTCCGGCCAAGGATACCGGAAGTGCACATTAAGCAACAAAGAAGAATAATGCATTTGACTGCTCGTGTACGGGTCTAATCGTGTCTCATTTAATAACTCAATTGTAACAATGCTACGGTTCGTCTCGCTTCGTCTGAAGGTAAATCAATTTTTTTCTCTTCGTACATCATGCGCAAATATCATGAGTTTGCTGTTTGGAACAAATACTTAAATTGTAAAGGTTACGGTTGGGACGTATGAGATTTGTATGATTCAAGAGGAAGTATGATATAATTATTGTATTTGTGACGATAATGTAACACTCGATAAAAATTACTGTATAAGCTTTAAATATTTTATTTAAATAATTTTATAAGCTGATGAGATAATTATTTAATTATTTATGAAAAAACTGATTAATTAATCAGTTTTTTCATAAATAATTAAATCATTTATGAAATAATTAATTATTACTTAATTGTTTTATACGTCTATCTATTTTCTTTATTTTATCAGTTTTTTTATTTACTCTCAAAAATAACAAAAAGTCATATTCGTTTTAAGATTATAAAATTTTGATTAACTATAAATCTTGATAATGTAAATCTTGAAATGCGATTAAATAATTATTTTGGAAATTTTATTGTTTTTGGAATCTCATGGATTCTGCTGTTGTGTGTTCGATTAAAAAATAGATTATGTTTTTATCGCTTAATCCCTGAGCCAACTTTTGATTTCACTCTTAAGGAAACCAAAAAATAATACCTTTTTATTTCGTGATAAATATTTTTAGAAAAGTAATATACAAATTGTAAGCTAAACGTTGGATTAGCGATTACATTATCATTGTTGTATTTTTATATAATAAAAAAGCCGCTATCGTGTATGTATATCACGATAAAAATCTTTCAATGTTATAAAGTAATAATAAGTGCGAGTGATTCACGAACTTGAAATTGTACCCCTGAATAGTAATCGACAAGTCGATCATATAATTTTCGCTTGAATGATTCGCATACGATTTACTCGATGACGTATCGTTTCTCAGTTCCACAATCTCTGCATATTCAACGATTTGCAGGATTTATATGTATAATAGACCTTCGTGGAATTAATTTTCACATAGAGATAAATAAATCCTAATACATCACCTCGAGCACGCGAAGGATAAGAAACACGAAAGTAAAAGAAACTATTATGATATATACTTGATACATGCGAAATTGTAAATTTTAGTCTTAAAATAACATAGTGATAAATGATAGAGATCTGATATCTTCAAGTTTCTTCTACTCGTTCTGCGGAAAATTTAAATTTTGAAGAGAAAAATTTCTCATTGTCATTTTATTCTCGACTTTATTTAAAAAACTTTCTTCACAATACACACACACACACACACACACACACACACACACACACACACACACACACACACACACACACACATACATGCGCGCGCACGCATACTTGCTCTTTTTAAGAATATATTTCTCTTTAAAAAATTACGAAAACATTATAAATTTTTCTATATGTATTTCAAAGTAATATAAAAAAGTTTGGCCTCGATTTAGAACACAAATAAAAAATTATTACAATTTGCAATAAACATTGTTTTTAAAAATTAAAAATTAAAATGAGAAAATTTTCATTTAAATTATACAATAATAATTAAATAGTTAAATAGAGAAATATTAATTTTATTAAATTATTTCGTATGTATAATATTTATTTTATACAGAAAGTATAGATTTCCATTTCCAGTCACTTTTTGCAGAAAAATTTTACATTTAATACATCCTTAAAGATATTAGAAAGTTAATATAATAATTACAGAAACAAAAACTTATTAATAGAAAATTGACCAATTCTGTAAAGTAATGAATGAAAAATATTTATTTCGATAAAAAAAGAACAAATAATCTAGAACTTAATTACTTCTACCGAATAAGATAAATGCCATTGCGGGAAACAATTAATTAAGACAAGTAAATCAAAATTTATCTACATCGAGCTAATTCCTGCGGTCAGTTCTACCATAATACCTTGACAAATTAATTTTTGCACGAATGCAATGCGTGAAATGCACGCGATCTTATTCTACGATTCTCACGTAATCTCATTTTTAGATTTAGTGTGTGCAATTACTAAAATGTTTTTTTTTTATTATTCTTTATCTTTTATTTTTTAACGTGGATGCCGTGGTCGATTTCACGTTTGACATTGGATTGAACTGATTATATACACGTAGTTTTTGTTTAATTTTTGTATGTTGATTGTTTAATAAAATCTTATCTTTCTTCTACTTCATCAATTATTCTCGAATAATTTCAATTTAATATAACGTAAGCTTTTTTTTTTAAACTTGGAAACGCTCGTCCTTCTTACTTTGTCGCAAAGAATTTTATCCTTCAAATCTTCCAAACCTCCTATTTTCCCAATACTCTTCTTTCTTTCAGAATTTTTCAAAGTTATGAAATTCTTCTGGCAACGAAAGATCTACCAAAGGTTTTTGGAGGAAAAAAATTTTTCTTAAAATTAGTACATTTATTTATTAATAATATACTGATAATATATTGTGTATCCACATCTAAAGGTTTACAAAATTTATTTAACATTTTTACTTTTCGTGCACTTTTGGGCTTCAAATCGAAAAATGGAGAAGATTGTTTGTGATTTTCAATTGGTTATAATATAACTCTCGAGTAGTCTTCGGTTAATTCTCAGCGTGGATGCGTCTACTTGGTACTACAGATGTTTCGAAGCAATTAATTGACTAATCGAAAGAAAGAATTTTATTAATGGATACTAATTAAAAAGTTCTTTGGAGCATTTATATCAAGTGCCAAGGTCTTTGGGTTTGTTTATCGTTGATTGTTAATACGAAACTCCAGATCTTTCAAGCATGCATTTACTTCATCAATTACTTTCGAATAGTTAATATTTTCTATAATGTTGGAATCGAAGAACGCTCGTCTCTTTTGCTTTATCGCAGGGATTCTTCAAATCTTTTAAATATTCTTCTTTCTTCCAAAATTTGTCAGACATATTAAATCCTTCTGATAAGAGATCTATTAAGAGTATAGTCAGGATTGTGAAGTAATCTATAAAATATTAGTATACTAAGAAACGTAATAGTGTCTAAAATATGAAAGATAATATTAGGTCATAAAAGTAAAAAGTATCCGCGGTTTTTTGTTCAATTTTTGAATGAAAAAACCGCGGATACTTTTTAAATGATCCAATAAATTGAAAAATGTCATGGTGTCATCCGAAGGTAGTGAAGATTTGTTGCGATCTTTGAATACATCTTTGGCAGTCTTTTCAATCTTAAATTTGTGAACTTTATCGAATTTAGTCATGAGATTGGATATTTTATTTTCGGTTAGTTTAGTAATATTAATCTCAGATTTAGGAGCTTCAGGTGATACAATAATATTGATTTTGGATTTATGATCCGTATAAGAAATGGACTGATCGATTACTTTCGATGAATAATTTTCCTCGTTGAGCAAAGGTATTTTCACTTTGGGAAGAACTTCCAAGTACGGTTTCCTTTGTATTTCTATCACCGAGCTTTGATCTTTTTGTGCTATTTATTTTGAATTAACTTATCTTCTTCTTGTTCAATGATCTTCGGTGGAAAAGTCGATTACAAATAAAGGTCATTAGATAAAACTTCTTGCATTATCGAAACAGGAATTACTGACGTCTTCGTTAAACGTTTATTCATAAATGTATAGAATACTACTGCTAGGAGTAACATCACAACCAAACTGGAAAATGTGTATAATAGTAAAATTTCTTGTTTGATGAAGAAGTAACAGTCTTAACCATCTTTTCAATCTTTCAATCGCGAAACACACCGTGCAAGACTTTTCAAGACTATTGAAAATTTAAAGTATATGAAGGTGTTTTTATAATTTGATGAAGCCTATGTCGAGAAACAATAAATAAAACTGTTATCTTAGGAATGAGACGATTTGTTTTGATGACAATATGAAAGCTTTCCGAAGAAACAATATTAAATGGAAAACGATAAGTGAATAACACAACACGTAAGAACACAAATAAAAGAAAGAATTTTATATTCAATTGAAGCAGATGCTTAGAATATTTTTATGTAAATTTAGAAATACATTTTTCAGTTTTATAAATTTACGTGCCGATTCAATTTATAGAAAATTTTGCAATATTTCAAGATTCTTATTATTATTATTATTGGATTAATAAACAATGTGATTTGTATTATTTTGAACTTTAATTTATAACTGCATTTTAAGTCTAATTAACAAACCGAATCGACGCACAGTTTATACAACTGAAAAATATATTTGAAAATTTATATATAAATATTATTAATAATATTAATATTAATATTAATATTACATAATTAATATTATTAATAAGTACCAAGTACCTCTTAGACCGAAGTAACATTTTATCTTTGAAGAAAACTCTTTAAATTATTAAATAGTCTGAAAGTTTTTTGGTATACGATAAAATACTAAAATAATAAAATGTTTTCATATTTATCATTTGAATATATAATAGAAACATAATGGATGTATAAGTACTTAAGGTAACTTTTGTTTTTACAATATATTTGAATAAGAAATCTAGAAATACATTTTTAATACGATGCATAAACTGATTAACAACGTAATTAGTTATTTCCAAACATGAAACTCATTGTTATAAAATAATTAATTAATAATAATTTTGATAATTTTGGCCTAAAATCGGGATAGCTTTAGCTCAAATTTTGACAATAACAGCATATATGTTCTAAATCTGAACATAAAACATCTTAAAGACGTTCTGAAATGTATTGTGTCTTAATTTTGAATATATGTGTTGTCTAAGTAATTATATTTTTGAAAACTTGGATCAAAATTATTTCATTTTATACGCGTCGCAAATTTTTTTAAACTTCCAATTACAATTAAAATATGTTCTTTGTAAACTTTTATTTTTTCTAGTTTATTTTAAATAGATGAGTATAACTTGTTTTTAAAGAGTTTTCAAGAATTAAAAGAGTAAATATTTTGAATTGATAATACTGATAGTATTATACAATAAATTTTTATTTTATTAGTAATATTAAATGTTAAAATATTTTTCGTGCTTGGAATATCAATAAAATAAAAATATTTTCTAAAC